ATATATAATATAATATATATGTATATATAATATATATATATATATATATATTTTATATATTTCTACTTCCTTTGTCTGTTTTATGTTTACTGAAATGGTAACACGACTAAACTTCGAATTGATAAAAATTAAAATATATAACTAATATCGTAACGAAATCTGAGTTTTTACGCTACAATCGGCCCAATAGAACAATAATACAACCAACGTGTTTATAATTCCTTAAACTTCTTTATAATATAACGGAATCGATTTCGATTCCACCTCAATATGCGACAGATCTGTAAATTCCTGGCAACGTTTTATCTCCTTTTCGTAGCTGAAAATGAAACACTTCTTGTTCTGTCGACACCGATGTGCGCACGTAATCGGAGACTGCGCAGTAGAACTCGAAATCATAGATGATGCGATATTTCCTGAAGACGTAAGCTTTTGAAACAAATGTGGCCATGGACGACACTCTTTATCTGTAATTGAACCATCAAAGTACATTACCACAAATAATAATACTAATAACTAGAACAGAACTCTACCCAGGGCCTGGATACCACACAATACGAAGGCCGTGCATGGACGATTCCATTATAATTTTTTTTTTAATTTTTGAGAGGGACATTCAAGAGGGACTTTTTCTTTCCTAAAGTTAATCATCTCTTTCTTATGATTATTATGTACCGTTCCAGTAAATGTTATGATATTCCATTCCTTAGTTTGTTCGTAATCTTGCTTACAGACAAACAGAAAGACAGACAGGAGTAAATACATAACCTCCTTGGAGAAGGTAATATTAATAAGTAAAAAATATTAATAGAAATATTAATATGAATATCAAAAGAAATACATACAAATACGTTGTTATTATTATTATCATTAATATCATTTTTATTTATTTGTATTATTTTGGAAAAACACCAATATATCGGCTTCTGCTTTGACAGACACATACAAATACGTTATTATTATTATTATTATTATTATTATTACTATTATTATTATTATTATTAAAATTATTATTAATATCATTATTATTATTATTAGTATTAATTTTGAAAAGACACCAATATATCGGCTTCTGATTTGACAGGCCGCCTTGACAGACATTTTTGATAGATTTTCCAACTTTCTGAGGTCTTGTTTCAATACTGGAGAGTTAATCGTAAAGATCCATTATGCTTCAAACTTCCTCAAACAAAGAAGCAACAACACAAATTTCAGACTAATTAACAAGTTTATTTACAGCACGTTTCGATGTCTATCTAACAACGTCCTCAGTGTTCTACTGTTTAAACAAGAAATCAGGAAGTTTTAAAAACCATCCTTAAAGTCTGACAATGCAGAAGTTGATACGAACTTTTAACAAAATATTATTTAAATTATAAAAGAACAAAAACATGAATACTAATGGTAGTAAGTCTTAATGGGGAACCATTTCAAGCCTAAATATAGGTATTATGACAATATAGTGCAGTAAAAAACTGAAGAGGGTGCATACGAACCGAAAATTTGCTTGAAATGCGTATTATTTATATTATTATTATTATTATTATTATTATTATTATTATTATTATTATTATTAATAAATGTTCTTACTTAGAGTATCGATATGACGATCCTTAGCTAAATGCATCTCAGCTTCATCAAGTGGCCGGTCGTATACCTGTAACTTCGCTATCTTGAAATGCACACTTTGAGAACCAAACACCATCGGGCTTTCAAATGTGATATTTGAGAATATCGTATTGGCCATACAGGCAATCTCTCCGTTTCGCCAAAGTTGCATTTTCCCTTCAAAACTGTCGAAAGTAACGGCAAAGAATGTCCATTCTTCATGGCGGACGACGTTGCATCGAATAACCTCTTCATCAATATAAATAACTGCTATATGCGAAATTGATACAAATTTATTGGGGAACGCATGGATGATTTGAAATTGGCCGAATTCAAATATGACCCCACTGGAACCAGTAAAAGGAAAAACGTAGAACGCCATCGTGAGGATCGAACCTGCTACTTCATCAGGAATGGGTATTGTAAGTGTCATACCCAATGCTGGGTTCACTACGATCGCTTCCCCTTCTTTACCATTCACCCCGGTAGCAAACTGTAGAGCTGATGATGTGTTTCCATTGTAACCATTTCCAGATACGTCGTGTAGCTGATAGATAACGTTCATGGGCCAGATTCCGATTGGAAAAAGGTCATCACAATTGGGCTCTATGGAGATTATAGAATATGAAATACGGATAGATAATAGTTCGATTTATAGTAAACTTCAAAGAATATGAATGAATTGTAGGCCTATTGGTGCTGGTACTACTCTGTGTAACTGTCAATTGACATTGTAGTGGTCATTGAACATAATATGTTGACGCTTACGAACACTGTTTCAAACAAATAGTTCACTATTGCAAACAAACAAACATCTAAAATTATAGAACACCATACAATGCTTTTTGAAAGAAGACAAAGTTGGAAAACCAGATTTCATATATTCTTTCGGTAAAAGCTGTTTCTGGAGAACTGTTAGCGACCAACGCCACTCCTGTCGACGGAACGTTGCAAGATGAAGTTCACTTTTCTGCCTCATACTTGGCTGTTTGTCTTATGAAAGATGGGGATTTTGGTCGGTTCATGGGTTTCAGATCTTATGACATGGGCAATCCATTTCTTTTTGTGTTCTTCATAAAAATATTCGTAAGTGTTTGTTACTCTATCAATTCTTATCAAATATACAATTTGTAATTGTTAATACATGTAGAATTAAGAAAAAAAAAACAAACCCAAAACTCAATTTTGAATTTACTGATAAACGTAGGGGTTCGCCTTAATCTCAGAAAACAACGTTTATCGGCTTCAAAATCAATGTAAAACAATATCATAAATATACATAATTAAACAACTAATTTGTTTGTTAGGGCTAACTTACCAGTCTCGAAGTCATAACTGTAAACTTTAACTTCACAAATAGTTATATAGTTTAATGTATTTGGGAACCATAATTTCACATAACGTCCCTTAACTGGGGGGTCGCAGAAAAATTCAACCAATGGCGATATTGTGACGTCGTCTTCTGATACTGGTTCACCACATGATGTTCCGTTAGTCAGGCCATCAGTAGAATTGAGGACTCTTATCTCAGCACCAACAAGTCTTCTGTTATATGATTTGGAGGCTGTGGACGATAAAGTGCATGTATGTATTTTGGGCTAACAGCTTCACAGTCAATTACGGTACATTGGCATGAGCATGAAAATAGGTTCAGCATATAAGACAAGGCACTACACACTATAACGTTTATGATAATGATGACGATGGTGATGATGATGATTATAATGGTGGTTGTGGTGACTGATGATGATGATGATGAGGATGATGGTGATGACGATGTTGACGATGATAATGATGAGTATTATGATGATAAATATGATGATCAGCATGATAATGACGGAGGATGGTGTTAATAATAATTATTTTTATGTTGATAGATAATAATAATAGTAATAAAAATAATAACAATAATAATAATAATAATAATAATAATAATAATAATAATAATAATAATAACAGGCCTAACAATGGTGGAGGTGGTAATGATGGTGATGATGGTAATGATGATGATTATGATGTTGATGATGATGATGATTATGATGATGACGAAGATGGTGATGATGATAACTGATAATAACGATGGTGATAAGTAAGATTATGCTGATTATTATTATTATTATGAAGACGGTGTGGTGGTGATGATGATGATGGTTTCCTGCTTATATTTTCAGCTTTACAAATCAAATAAATGTTTATAACAATATTCACAAATGTACCTTCCAGAAAAAAGTTTGGAATCATATTAAAACAACATTTATACCTACAGACCTATAATTAAGGATTAATAATTATGATTGAACATGTTACAAAAAATTAAAATATAAATACACTTAAGCAGAGGCGATCAGTTACTTAGCTTTACCGTGAAATTTGCAGAAATTTGTAGGGTTCTTTTTTATATTTTACTCCCTAAAGTAAAACCATGTATATATATATATATATATAATAAATCTATATATATATATATATATGTGTGTGTGTGTATATATGTACCAGGGGCGTAGCGGAGGGGTATTAAGGTGTTAGTCTAATACCCTCAGAATTTCAAAAATGTGTTTTTAAGACTCCCTGTTTTTACAGAATATCGGAAACAACGATATTTAGTATTATTATGCAGATTTTAAATTAAAATTGACATAGTTGGCGTCCCATAGAAATGGTATTAAGAATAATGACGTATCTTAATACTATACAGTCTCAAACATACTATCTTCACAATTAACGATAGTGGTCAAATACCATGTCAAATACCAAATTAATAGTGTATTCATTAGTGCTAGGAGTTTGATAGATCAATGGTGTCAAACCCAAATACTCAATCTCGCAGTCTTTTGTAATTGTAATCGAGTAAGTAGGAAAAGACCTGTAGTAAGACTCATAAAATATTATTAGTGTAGGCCTATCACCCCCTAGCTCATCACTTTTTGGGAAATTCTGATTTTTTTTTTCAAGTAAACATATTTTTATGACTTTTCTTATGACTTTTTATATATGTGTCCCTAACCATTGATTTACTTGAGAACAATTATTGAGATATATAATGTAATTAATTTAACAATAAAACTGTGATTCATTACACTGAGCCCAGTCTAGGCCCAACAAGAACGATACTCACGTGAGTGGAAACAGTCAGGCACTATATCACCTCCATCGGTTGAATGGAAAGGGTAAAATTCGCGATAAACTGACGAAGACGTTGCCGGCTTCTTATAAGATATAAGTGCTACAAATAATTATAGTATGGTATTTTTTTAGAATATTATTATTATTATCATCATCATCATAATCATCATCATCATCATCATCCTTATTATTATAACACAAAACAGTATTAATAACAGACCATGCTTTATCCTCCAGGGTCAAAGTTCATGTAAGCTGCAAGAACCAAACGCACCCTGGATAATGTTCCTCCTTTCGTTTGTGTCATTCTAGCAGCATGTAAAGCCAAGTTCCGGAGGAAAACAATGTTCTGACACAAAAGGATGTTTGCCGAAAACCTCGCGTAACCTTTCCCCCCAGTATTTAAATATTCAAAAATCTGTATCTCATTGACCGTTCCCAAATTTTTCGTCAAACACCCATCTGGCATGTAATATACATTCATGATCAGTGATCAAGGGCGTCGGAAGCGGTCTGGCTGGTCCGGTTTTGGCCGGACCAATAATTTACAACTCAATATCGTTTGTAATCCAAATTAAACTTTCTCTAAAGCAACCTCCTTTTTGTTTACAAAATTAAATGGCCTGACTTTAAACAACAAACAAACCAGTCAACCTCGTCTGTAGTAGTACCCACCATAAGCTGTCTTAACTATAGGGCTCTTTTTACCTGAATGAATATAATATATTTAATGAAGTATAATGAACTGTTATGCTTATTATTTTTTTAAAAATCAATCAAAAATTTTCATATAGGGCTTATCATTTATACGGATCAAATACATTATCAACTTCAACGTACAAAAATAAACCAACATGTTTTCCTGATTCAAACTTTAGCTACACACTATTTACCAGTCAATTAGGGTCTGCTAAAAGAATAGAAGCTGTATTATTTATTCGTCTGATAACTGGCGATAAAATATTTTATCAATTTATTTACTGTATCTTTATTATAGTATAAAACTTCAAACATAACTTGCACATTCAGCTTATTGAAAATATGGAACAAATTTGAGATTATTTCATTTTTTACTGTAGTTAAGTATCAATAGCCTATTTATTATGACTTGATTCACCACGTAAATAATAATCTGCTGGCCCCGAAACCTCGACTCAGTATATCCGGGATGGTGTCCGGCGGGGGATAGTTTTACATGTAATGTTTTTTCAAGCCTAGATTATTTTTTTGTTGTTAATTATTAATTATTAATTATTATTTTATTATTATTATTATTATTATTATTATTATCATATTATTTAAAAGCGTTACATGTTAAAAGCTCTGCTTCCAATGTAATTCCTTGCATCTCATTTTCATATTTTCATTTATTGTTTTAGACAGGCCTACTTCAAATTTTCTATTGTAATTCATACATGTAAATATGAATGTATTTTTTTGAAATAATTTGAAATCGAAACTAAACAATTAAACATTTAATGTATATTAAAACATCTGTTTTTAATATGAAGTTCATCATCTGGTGCGTTATTTGACTTCACTTTTAAGCAAGAATTTACAGAATAATTAAAACTGTTAAGAAATAATTCAGTAAAGACCTACCACAAACATATTTTTTGCAACTTGATAACATTCCTAATGATACATCTCATCCACAGCATTAAAACTATACATTTTTATAATGATAATAAAAGATATTATACTGTACCTTGTACAATCCGAACATATATTTTAAATCAAGGATAGATGTGTATAAGAGACAGGTATATAAACATGACATTGTTTTAAATATTGTATTGCATAAATATTGAATGCCTACTTGTGTAGGCCTACCGTATTTATTTATTGAGCGAAGAAGCATCTCCTTTAAAGAGATGCTTCTCCGTAATAACAATCTTCTTCATAATAACAATGATAATATTATTGTTGTAAGGTGATTACAATTCAATTTTCAAATCAATTTAACTTTTATTTCGGAATCACATATCCGTATCAATACAATAACAAAAGATAGCCTACAAAGACTATGCATTTAGGGGTAGGGACGTAACTTTCGTAAGGTCCAAATGACCCGCATACCCCACCCTAACCAAGCTATGCATTACAGGGGTAGGGACGTTACTCCACTAAGGCCCTAATAATGACCTGCATACCCCACCCTAACCAAGCTATGCATTACAGGGGTAGGGACGTTACTCCACTAAGGCCCTAATAATGACCCGCATACCCCACCCTAACCAAGCTATGCATTACAGGGGTAGGGACGTTACTCCACTAAGGTCCTAATGACCCGCATACACCACAATAACAGAACTATGCATCGACGCGGTAGGGACGTTACTCCATTAAGGTCGTATTGACCCGCATACCCCAAGGATATTCAATCAAGTTGACCCGTTAAACATTATAAATTAATTATTTTTAGTTAAAAATACGATTACTTTCCCTTACAAATGTATAGTTATTATAAATAAAATCCCATATGTTTATTACTTACCCATTTCCACTACACCGATCCACAAAATAAGGAAAATAAACATTGATGTACGTAGCATAACCATCGTAATTTTGAACAATTCTGCGATTCCAGCTTAACAAATTGTGATTCACTTCACTTTAGCGTAGTGGCTAAAATGTTTGCCTATTCTGTGATCATTTTTTCAACACTGGTAAACGCAATACAAACGAGTAAAATCAAATTAATCAACAACTGTCGATAAGATTTTATGTACACCAAATTCAATTGCGCGCATTTATATAGTAGTAAAAAATATTGTTGGTATTATGTTATTAATATTGTGGTACATGCATAAACTATTGTTTAGTTTTATTTTGATGATATTATCATCATTTTTCTATATGCCAATACTCTAGAGGATGTTACTGCAAAAAAATAAAAGGTCATTTGTAATAATAAATGTTTTATAATCAAAAGAAATTACCATTTTCTAGTTTTATTACACATACTTAAAACGTTTTTATGTGGAGTGGTACAAAAGTTAGCCGTTTAGACTTGAATCACTAGAAGCTTTCGATTTGCACGACGCGGTGGCACAGTAGAACGACGTCTCTGCGCATGCGAGAAAGTTAAAGTCGTCGCATCCATTTATGCTGCAAGGCTTTGACGAGTATACTGAAGTAGAGATCAGGACGCAATATTAGGGGTTTTCCGCAAGCTTACGAACACGGTAATATTACGGTTCCGTCATAAATTTCTAGACAACCCTTCCTCTGCACTGCATAGCTGTCACAACGTAAGCAATTCTATTCATGCCTTTTGCATGAATCCAGGATCAAATTTAACTACAGTAGGTTTACAGGAAAAATGCCCCCATACAAAATGGCCCCGGATGAAGTGGCCCCGGAAAAAATGGCCCCAGTAAAAATGGCCCCCAAAGATAAAATTTAGTAATAAAAAATAATTCATTTTTTAAATCTTTAAACTATTTAAATGCTGTGAAATATCAGAAATTGAATGAATAATCATAAGCATTTTTTAAAACTAAAATAATTTAGTTTTTAAAAATCATCTAATGTCAAAATTGTGTGACAACTAAATTATAATTTAATTGGTAAAAACTAGTTTTGAAGATTTTAATTGGTTGGGAATCTGACTAGTCAATAAATAATATAAAATGCCATATAAACAACATGCAGTAGTCCAGATTTTTTAAAATAACAATAAAAGTCAAACAATTTGAATTACTGTATTTTATAATGTAAAAAAAATGTTATTTAAGAAAAAAAGCCCTTCATTTATTACTTATTTTTAAAATCTATGGGCTATTCAATTTATTATTCCTGCAAAATGTTGGCAACATTTTAGTTTTAAAAAATGCATATAATATGTTTATTTATTGATAAAATTGTTGATGTTTTACAACAATCAAATAGTCAAGATATTTTTACTGGATTTTATCATTGGGGCTATTTTTACCTACTTGTCATTTGGGCCATTTTTACTGGGGTCATTGTTTCCGGGGCCTTTTTTTCATGGGCCATTTTTTCCAGGGCCATTTTTGGCCTACAACCCGTACAGCATATTGTTAACAGTGTTTTAGGCACAAATGACGACAATGATAATCGTTTCGTATTCGTTATCGTTTCGCAAGGTTGCGAAATCTCCCTATAACCTCTATGATTTTACTAATCTACGTGCAGAGAACGTAGGACGAGTCACGCATGAGTTAACCCGTTCTATCGTCGCGCAAATCGAATGCTCCCTATAACGCAATGCCTGACAAACAACCAAGAATCCATTCGTAAATTATTGAAAATAACAATTTAATTCATATAGTCCTTGAGATATTCATTCAAAATGTTATCTTTACAATAACATATAATAATAAATAAGAATTGTATATCTATTATAATAAACTCCAAAATACTTATAACGAGATACGCTTTAGTATTAGATTATTATCCATTTAAGTATTAGTTTCTCTTGTAATTTTGTAGGAAAATCAATAGGCCTAACTATTTATTATAGTCATTAATTTCAAGTGGTTTACTGCCTAAGCTAAAAAACGATTCATATTCCAAATGGATGTTATTTAAACATTGTCATGATTTAATAAGTTTACCGTTAATGTTCTCGTCCGAATTGAAGGGGCAAAAATGTACCTTGTGGTGTTCTTAGCGTTGGTGAATTTGGAAACACATTTTAACTCCATTATTTAATGTAACAAAAATTCTTAGGCATCACGATTGACTATAAACTTACTTGGAAATCCCACATTATGCGGGTTTCCAAAATAATTTCACGAAATATTGGAATAATAAATAAACTTAAGAAGTTCTTTCCAGCTAAAATTCTGTTAACCTTATATAGCTTTTTCATCGTACCTTATATTTTTTACTGCCTGCAATATAACATGGACAAGTTCCGAAAGCACCAACATTGATAATCTCTTTCGTCTTCAAAAACGAGTTCTTCGAATCTGCAGTGATGTTTTCTACAGAGCTCACACCAAGCACATATTCCATGATTTTAAAATTCTTAATAGGCCTATATACGACTTAATTAAATAAACTTCAAACTGCCAACTTTATGTTTCAACTGTCCAATGCCACCTTACCACCCCACATCGCTATTCTTTTCATTAAGGCATCTGAACGTCATCATAATAGCACAAAGTTCTCTTCTACTAATTACACCTTTACTACTGTTTGTCTATCCCATGCTAGAAGACATTTCATTTTTTATTTTGGACCAAAATTATGGGCTAAGATCTCTGATAATACCAAAAATAAATACACTCTTAATAGCTTCAAATATAATTTTAAAAAGTCTCCGATCTCTGCATATGCCTAAACACCTAAACACTAGTCATTCTTTTTTCCCCAAATCCGATATGTGGTCACATATACTTAAATTCAAATTTACAAACCTGCCATATATTGCTTGTTTTTATTTTTGTTTCAGTAACTTACTGAAATTGCATCTTGTAATTTGTTCACATTATGGTCTTAATCGTTTTATTTTTTCTAACTCTGTAAAGGTGGCTATATATTAATGTTCTGTAGTTCACCTGTAGAACTTATTATAGCCTCCTTCCATGCAACTTTTTTTAAAATATATATATCTATATTCATATTTATTATTTACATTTATATGTATTAATTTTGTTTATGTTGTATGGAAAATATTTGAAATTTGAACTTTAAACTCGAAATTTGCATTAATAAAAAAAATACACTTTCACAAAGTGACTCAGTACCTGAAATATTCTAATAATTTAAGCTGCACGTTACCACGTCGTCGAGTTTCTGTTCAGACAGATCTATATTTTGAATCGTTGGGCGTTCACAGTGTGGTACAGAGAGCCAGGTAGGGTACTCTCATGCCAACAAAATATTTTACTTTAAAAAAATTATAAAACACAAAAACTGGGCCTATCTATTCTTTATCAAAATTTCTTCATAATACATATAGCAAAATATGGTATATATTTGTTCGTTCTAATAGTTCTAAACAGATCTAAAACTGTAGCCCTAAGTATAAATAGCCAAGTATAAAAAGCCAAAAAGAACATTACTAACTATATACTGCAATGTTACGCAACCTTTCTGGGCCATGAACAAATTTGCGGACAATACTAATAATACTGAAAGTCATTAATCAGACTCATACTGACATAAAGTAGAATCATATTTTTTATTTTGAGGGAGAGCATCATTCCATTGGTTACGCCACAGATAGAATAAACTGAAGTTGAGAAACAATTAAGTTCTGCTACCGTCTGCGTTTTTGAGCGCAATATAGTCAATGAGTCGCTTGATGATGTATGCCTAAACATTGGGACCCAGGAAATTAAGTATTAACTAAACAAAATTTACAAAGCGAAGTTTCAAATGAATGACATTTTTCATTTTAAAAATTGTAATGGTTACCTTGAGATTAATCATTTATATTTTCTTAACATTTGGCTTTAACATCATTATTTCATCTGCTTGTTATGTTGCGTGTGAACATCACACCCAGGTGCGGCGAAAACGTGCGCGAGATCGACCAAGGCTGTCGTCGGCTTATTTCTTCTAGACCCATGTAACTTTGTAAGAATTTAAGTTGGGAACAAAAAGCAACGCCGATAAACTAAATCCGCAAGGTCCACTGATTAATCTCAGATAAAGATAGTATAATACCGTACATATTCCTGATGATGACGACATAATTAAAGTCAAATATTGAATCCCGACACGATGGCGTGCATTTCGATACTTGGAGTAGGCCTTATACTCTATTTTCTCTATGCTTATACTATCTTAAACTATACCCAACATTACAATAATACGCATGGCATGTCAAATTGTAAAAGAAATTTCAAGGATAGTGTGTTGTTTTTCGTGGATTTACAGGCCATATACGACGGCAGACAACTCAACGTTTGGCGGACCACTTTCATTTCTTGTGGACCACCCATGGACCCTTAGCGTATGACGGTCCATTCGTCTACTACTACGGTCCATTCGTCGCCCTCTACACAATGTTTGTGATTATAGAGGGCGACAAACATGATATAACACCGATTAATAGATCTGAATACTGTGTCCAGGTTCAGATACTGTGTCTCCAGGGCCGGATTAAAGGTAGGGTCTGGGGCTGTAATTGCAAGTGGGCCTAAATACTCTGTGGCTAAAACATAAATCCAGATTTCGGTGATTTTTCTTGGGGTTTGGAGGCCTATTTTTTCCCCGAAAGCCCTTATGTTAATCTAGCCCTGTACATCTCTATACTATTCTGATAAACTACAGTATCTATATATACTCTTTATACTCTTTTATTAGGTATGCTCGTCTCAAACACATTAAGACGCTTACATAATCGCTGTAGGCGAAACAATTAACTGTTTTACAGCTACTAGAAAGACTTTACATCAACTGTGTAAATTCAGTGGCGTAGCTAGGTGGGGTCAAGGGGGTGGGGGGCACGTGCCCCGGGCGCCAGGTTTAGGGGCGCTGAAATTGGAGAGTGAGAGTAAAAAAAATAACCACTTTAAAAAAAAAAGCATGACGAAATTGATGTATGTCGTCAGGCATCAATATTTTCCAGTTAATAAAAACCTGAATGTATTTTTATTGGCAAATTTATAGATTGTGATTTCTTTTCAGTCCATTTTATGTAATCCTATTCTGTAATGACTACATGACTAAAGCTCATCCTTCCATATCTCAGAGCCACGATGGGACAAGTGAGACTAATCTGCTTTGGCACTCCTTAGTATTGAGCGCGATGAAGCCGACAACATTGCTAACATTGATCATATTATTAACTTATTTGTAGATGCAACTAAGCACGCAATAAGAATACTAAGCTGTATGCGATAAATACAACAGCCTTACAAATTAGGATAATGGTAAAGTATCAATGTTTTAATAAGTACATAAAACTGTGACGCAAATATGTATGCAAAAATGCACAGAGACACAGACGCTGTTTTTGTATTTTTCTTCAAATCCGTATGCTATAAGTCATAAACATTTATTCAGAAAAATTCCACAACAAATTACATATTACAAATTGTATACAAAACAAGTTGTATACAAAGTTCCTAACATCGTAATGCAGTTTCAGTAGTAAGAACCGAGGAGACAGACCCAATTCGGGGATAGCTTCCCTCGACAACCACGCCCACTTAGCTCTCATCAGGGAAATCTTCCCCCTTGTTGGGGCATCCCCCTCACCCGTCGGGCAAATACTGACGCCACCCCTGGTAAGAAAGAACCTACTATATGAGAGCTTGAACAGTGCTTATTTTTACAATGCATATGATACGGACGTACGGTACGGATATGCTTAAAGCCTATACAACCAATATCAATTTATTTACAATATTATAATTATAATGGGGGGGGGGAGGGGAGCAATTTTCTACACTTGCCCCTGGGCGCCACAACCCCTAGCTACGCCACTGTGTAAATTAGCACATTGACAATCTAGTTTTTGCAAACCTGCTCGTGACCCAACTTGGTCACGAGCAACCCACTTTTGGGTCGCGACCAATAATTTGGGAAGCGTGGTCGCAGTGGCGTCACGCTCGGGCACTGACGGGGGAGGGGGAGGAGCGCCAGGGCCCCCATATACGAGGGGCCCAGAAATTGACAACATGGATCTTTAACAAACAGCTTGGCTCCAACTTAAGATGTTTAGATATTAATTTTTTTCTAATGTCTCTTTCATAATTTTACAGCATTATCATATCATTTTATATTTAATTTTTATGGCCTCATGTATTCTTTAGTTGATAAATTCTGGTAATTTTGGGAAATGCCCCGCTCACCCCCTTCACCACCTCAGGTAAGTGGTTTTTGGAACAGAAGTCTCACGCCTGCATGATTTGTCGAACTTGGCGTATGAGGGACCAATAACAGTCACCGCCAGGGCTTCACGAACCCCGTGACGCCACTGCGTGGCCGTATAGTAGCATTAAAAACATGTGTAGGCCTATTCATGTTTGATTGACATTATACTTTGCCAACAGCCGATTCAATTACTGACCAGGTTGATCTGTGTTTTATATTCTTCCAATCAAAATTAGACTTATTAATAGTTGATTTAAAAAAGAATTGTTGAAGACAGTCAGGTGCCTATTTCATTTAGCATTTACATGACCGTTTACATGAGATGTTAAAGATGTTGGTAAATATTTCTTTACTTTTTTAATGTTCATTGATTTCTGCTTCTCACATCAACCTTCTATAATTTTGTTTTTCACTTTCAGAACATTATATGTACCGTATTTAGATGGAAGTCACGTGACATTATTGACAGACGACAACACGTCGACATCCCGAATCTATTATGCGATTGGTTGTGAAAATAAATATCTCCATGGTTATGATACAGTCTGTATAAATATGTCGGCACACTCTTATCAGTAGAACGTAATGGCGTCGAAGGTTACGATCGTCGCGTGGATTCTGGAGAGCAATTTGGCCGAATCTACGTTGCCCCGAGACTGTGGCGGTCACGCATTAGTGAATCCGTTCTAGTGTCACGTCGTCGAACAAATCGGAAGCAACGCCGTGAACGTCTAACTTTAAAAGCATCAATCATCATAACAAGCGTGATTGTGGTACAGCAAGTAAACAGCAACGATGTCTGATGACGCCCTCCGGCATATTACTAATTACGGTCCATTTGTCGCCCTCTACATCGTACATTTGCACTTCTGAATGTCTGTCAGAGAACTTACCGGTGTATCCACCGATAACGTATATGCATTTACCATGGACACCGATCCCAGCCAAACTAACTCCGTGTGTAATAGGTGACAATTTAGACCACTGTTCTGTTGTCGTGTCGTAGCATTCTACGGAGCGACAATCTATTCTACGATTTTCATTATTACGCGTGTTTCCACCAATGACGTAAATTTTCTTTCCGACAGAACACATAACGTGGAATGCTCGCTTTGTGGACATCGGTTTTTTGAACGTCCATTTATCACGTTTTGGGTCGTAACACTGTAGCGCGTTACTAAAGTGGCCACCGTCAACGACACCACCACTCATATAAAGATTATCTCCTACAACGGCACTACCGTGACCGAATGTATGGAGGGTCAATGGTGCGACGTAATCCCACGAGTCAGTGGCGCTGTCGTACCGCTCAACGCTTGCTAACCCACCTTGAGTATTCTTTCCGCCAACCGCGTAGAGATATGTGTCTATGCCGTCAAGACTAAAATGTGATCGTCGTTTTTTCATAGGGCAGAGTTGTCGCCACGTATCAAACCGTGGATTGTACTGATGGACTGTGCCGATGCTGTCGATGCCTAACGAGTCACCAGAGAACTGACCACCTGCAACGTACAAGAAATTGTCCATGATGGCTACAGCTAGATCTAGTCTTCGAATCGGCATATCAGTAAATGGTTTCCATGCGTGTGTTTCGATATCACAAACGTAGGTCTGCTCACTGGTTAAACCTTGCATGTCCTCACCACCTAGCACAATTAGGACGTCGTTCGTGGCACGTGTCAGAGTTTGAAAGGAATGCTGATGGTGCGGTAACAAATGGTATGACATCGCCTCTGTGATTAAAATCCGACATTCGGGAATATCCATAACTATTTCCTCGGTCTGGACTTTATTGACGATATCATTCGGGTGAATCAACGGGAATCGAATGTGAGTCATGATTAAAGGAGCGTAATCTTTTCTGTCCTGCCAGTCATCTTTCAACCATTCCATGACTGCTTCAAATATTGAGATTTCTGACTTTGCCAGAATATCATCTCGACTCAGGAAGTAAATAATCTGGTGACAAGACAGTGGTAAATGGAGTTTTTTTTCGATGACTTCACCGAAGTTCTTCGTAATGAACTCAACAATCTCTCTTCTAGCCTCATCGATATGATAGTCTTTAGTCAATTTGAAGTAATCAATACAGTTTTTACATTTCAAACGCGACAGCATGAACTTTCCGCAGACTTCATTCACCAAGTCTATGCGTAGCGTATACGCAGTTCGAAGCGTTTCACTCAAGCTATCAAGATCACTCACGTCGGCTTCGTCCACACTGGATGTATACACCACACCAAGCACTACGGCTAGTGAATGGCTACTAATACCAGTAAGCATAAACTCGGACGCCGATTTATTCCCGTCGGTGACAAATAACTCCTGGAAGTATGGGCTACTTGCCGCTAAGATATTTTTGTGAGCAAGGTGTCGTTTATTGTCTACAATAAGAGTGACGTCACAGTAATGTCCGTCAAGCCGAAGCCGGTTCAGATCGTCCATCACGTGACTTCCTTTCCCCGTTCGGCGTGATGGTCTCCGCCGTGGGGATAGGCCCAAATTCATATGCTTCATGGATATCTTTCTTCTACGTTCACGTCTGGGTGATAGATTATTTACGGGTGACAGGGAAGACGCTGTGGTCCCAGGGTTCATCGACCAACTCTCGTTCTAGAATAAAAGAAGATCAATATTTTGTTTTGTAATTTTTTCTCGGATTCACGGCCATAATTAAGGTTGTTTATATACATATTAGAACTAAAACAATGAGTACAATACATATTGATGCAATAGCATATACGGCGCCTATTGCAACTTATTGCAGAGCTGAATCTGTAATATATCCTGAATGAAAGGTTAAAGAACGTCCTGAGTACGGTACTCTCGATTAAGTGTCGTGACGTTTATTCAAAATATAATAATATATCTAGTAAACGCCGTGCGTTTATTTGCTTTCCAACAACAAAAAATCCACGGCTGGTTTGGCGCTTATTATTCGTGACACTTACTCTAGAGAGAGTTGGGGGGGGGGGGCTCTGTGGGAACATTTTATATAGGCCTATATTTTATATACATATATTTATATTTTTATTATATACATTTATATAATTTATATAGGCCTATCATGTTTATTTCGGCCTCAGATTATAAAAATACAAAGTATTTCAATGAGGCACAATTACCGTAAATGGTCGAATAAGCCCCGCGGCGCTTATACAATTTTTGGGTGGCTTCAGTGCGGCGCTTATTCGAGAGCGGCACTAGGGAAAAAAATATTGGCGTGGCGCTTTCCATGCCCGTTCCCATGTTAATCTCACGTCCCGTAGTTCGGTTGGCCTAACATAGGTCATCGTGTCTTCATTGTGTTATTTCTTCAGTAATTTAACACTGACGAACCATGTTTCTTAAAGTGTTTCATTACACACATGGAAAATATAGTCTCGATTAAGGAAAAAAATCAGGTTTGGCGCTTATTCGAGCATTTTAGCTAAAAAATGACAGTCGACAGGCTGTTCTATTTCTAAACTATATATCAGGGAATAAATACTGTACAGGCTTTATGTTTGTTATTTTTTTTCGGACTATATGAATATTGAATATTGTAACAAATCTAGTAGGCCTATGCAAAATAATTATACCACTAGATGAAGTAGGCCTAGTCGTCAAATGATAAGGTGGGCCAAATTCCTTTCTTACTAAAAAAAATCACTTGCTTTGCATTGCTTTTTCTCACTCAAACCGACGTAATTAAAAATGCCTGTCATTAAAACAAATATGTTAAAATTATTACAACAGACCACGTGGCTCTAAAATGATTCGTGTCACAATTAGAACTCAATAAACACAGGTCTGCTTGTACATAAATTCAATGTTCACCTAATTAAATATTCAAAAATGACTGAACGCTTTTACGATTTAGAATCATTCTCAAAGAAAAACCTTGGCAGGGTAAATTAGAATGAATTGATGCGTTAACTAGAGTAAACATCATCTGAATACATCTTCGAATACAGAGATTAACCACGTAATGTGTTTTAATAAGCATTACTGGAATATTAAGATCCTGGTTTGAATCAAATTAGAATGATTGTTATAGCCATGCTAGACTTTCCTTTTTTAAGACACACGTCCTTCATCGTAATACTTTACTTAGTGAATTTAAAGCCAGGCTCCGGAGGAAGGCACAGAAAGCATATTTCATTAACCTCTCCCGAGTTTTTCGTCAAATATGCTTTTTTGTCTTAGAAAAATCAACATATCAAAAAATAATTACCTCCAGAGCCTGGCTTTAACTATCATCATGTTGATTATGTAATAATGATATATCATAATATATGTCATCATAATATTCTTAAAATAAATATCAAAAAAAAAAAATATCATCATCATCATCACCGTCTTCAAAATAATAAACATAATCACATTTATCACCAACATTAACATCATCACAATAATATATTAACATTATCATAGTTATCATCATCACCATCATCGTCATCATCATTACAACAACCATCATCACCATCCCATAAACGTAGGCCTAACAATAACAATAACAATAATAATAATAATAATAATAATAATAATAATAATAATAATAATAATAGTATAATGCTATAATAATGATTATGAGGACGATGATCATGATGATGGTGACGATGACACGTTGATGATGATAATGACGATGACCACGTTGATATGATAATGATGACGATAATGATTATATGCGTTACGTTTAGTGGTCTATATAGCCTATATAAAGCAGTGTAGATCAATGATATCAATGAGTAAATAAATGAAAGAAAAAAATAATTCTAAAGCATTTAGGCCTATTCACTAAATAATCAGTATCGAAAGTAACATTTTCACAAATGTTAACCAATTCCTTATTATTCTGTTTAATTCTACTTTTTTGTGATATTAATTAATTTAACTTATGTAATTGCGACAGATATTATAACAGGTCTACTATTAGCTACATAAAGGTGATATACCTGTACAGCAAATTAAAGGCAGTAAAACAGAAAAAAATTTCGCTCGACTACTACTGTACTTACCAAGTTCATGTTGATCGCCTCATCTACATGATTTTGCATATTTTGATAAAAGTGTCAAATTAATATAGCAACATTCATTTATTATAATCTGTTAATGAACAACATCTGTATTCCATGGAAGAATGAACTAACATTTAAAACAGCCACTGCTTGTAAATACAATCGTCGCTACATTTAAATTCATAGCTGCGTCTAGTATCTACAGAAACGCGCTTCCCATTGGTTGATCTTCATTCAAGCGAACGGAATTACAATACATGTTAGTTTACGTTGCTCCGGTTTATTGATGCTGCATATTCACGACCGGGGACCTATTGTCATCCCCTCTATTCGGCTCCAGTCACCCATATGGATTTAGTACGTCGATGTATCTGCTACTACACGGCATGCTACTGAACGCTACGCTAGTCCATGGTTTCGTAGCCTCTTCAGATCGTTAGATTGATTTTTACTCCATAAAAAACAATCATTGTTCTTTCGAAATTCCTTTATTGTTTATGGCTGACTCAATAGGTGTGCCCGCTTGTGTTCTCCAGTTGTGGATATGAAATGAATTCGACGCATAGTGACTCAAACTCTGTGCGAAATCAAACGCGCTATAACGCACTGTAGTTTGGATGTATATTTTAAGCAAGAGCTCAGCCACGCACTAAACCACGCATTTACGGGCGATGGCGATTGAGTCACATGGTGATAGTTTGTCAATTAACACCATAAAATGCATATCTCCCAGAAATAGGATGGTCAACGATCAGTGTGCATTTTTATGATTTCTGATTCATTGCATTATCGATTAACTAATGCAAGCACGCCCATTGACTCATTTCAAAACCATAGTTGTATTCATACACATTGTTTTTTTTTTAACATTGGAGGGCTGTCGTATAATGTAGGTTTACGTTGAATCATCATAGTAGTATACACTTATACAATATGTGAACATAAAAAAGTAATGATATGGATGTAAATTACGTGTATTAATTAACGTATAATAGTTTGCAGGTTAACTGTAATTATGGCACTGTATTTTGGTCTATTCTTTGTTCAACATTTTCTAAAATTATATACTGTACTGTAATCTTTATACAATCTTTTCAATAGTGTAGTGCCGTATCCATTAAATAAGATGCTCAGGGCACTTGATGTGTCACCTGGCAACTAGAATCAACTTTCTTCGTGTCTGTGCTACCCGGTACCAGCAACTCTCGTCGTCTCCATGTAAGTAGTGTGTATGTTTCATAGCAATACAATGAAATGCAACAATGCAAATTCAGGAGTGGTGGTGTCAGGACATACCCAACGTGAGCGGGGTCCAATCAGGGGTGGCGCCAGAGGGGGACCCCGTCGGGGAGAGCTTTCCCCCCCCCCGGGCGGGGAAAAAAGCACAATTCTTTTGGGAGAAAAAAATATATGTATTTTTTACATATAAGTAGACTCTAAAATCGATTAAATAAGCCTTTGAAACTCCTAAATTGTCGAAATTTACCACTTTCGGAACCTTTTAATTGAAGCTCGACCACGCCCACTTTGCTTTCCTCGGGGAAATCTGACATCTCGTCGGGGGAACCGTCCCCCACCCCCGTCGGGCAAATCCTGGCGCCTCCCCCGGTTCCAATGTACCAAACAGGTGGTGGGGATTGCGATGTCCAACACAAGAGAAAAGTGGGCATGGTCGGGTGTCGCTCAAAATCTCTTGGAAGTGCTCCAGCGGAGCGAAGCGAATCCCCCTGAAAAAAATATGACTGCTTAGCGGTTTCAATTGCTTATTTATTATCAGAGTCTACTTATATGTATAAAGTACATATACATGTCCCTCACTGGGCCACCTCTGTGCAAATTATTCTATATGTTTAAAGTTTATAACAACTTTTATAAAACAAAAAAAATACCACATGATAAGTTTTGACGGTTCTTTATTTACAATTTTGGAATTATTTGGAAATGCGAATGGTCGGCTTAATTAAATCATCCATTCCTCTTTTGAATACAAAACACCCACAAAATTTAAATTCATTAAGCGAGCTCCTCGTACAATTTGCCAGGTATGCACCGATATTCACCCAATTTACTAGCTAAGCTGCTCGGCATGATTCTACCATGGCATGTACATTTTACACGTTTGTTGGATGGAAATATTTGACACCTAGGCCTATAACTATATTGAAGGGCACAAAAGAGGTAATAACACAAACATGATTAACATTTTAACTGAAAAAAAAAATCTCTAAAAATCACAAACTTCCTAAATACGTTTGAGTAAATTTATTTCCAAAAGAGGTGGCGCTTTTTGTTGCCACGTGGTGAGCATCAGGAGCACACCTGACAGCACAAGATATAGACTTGTACACAAAGTCCTTCATGGCTAATTCGTCTATATCGTTATAATAACTCACGAAGAAGTTATACTGAAAATCGCCAATGCAATAAAAACATGTTTATGGCAATTGGTAACTAAGCAACAATGCGCCTATTGCATGCTTCAGTAATCATCAATTATTACGTCACTCCTTGATATCTGCAACAAAATCTTAACATCTCTGTACAAATATTAATATTCGCTTACATTTTCTAATGAATTGTAGACGGAATCTTTCTATATTTATCTTTTGATTACACTAATTTTATTGTCCTTGTTCCACTTTAACAATATCATAGACGCAAATATGCGTAATTACGCATGGTGTTACTCAAATGGATTGCCATGCGGTAAAAATACAAATGTACACACAATACAAAAAGCTGAGACTTGATTCTATACCTTATAAAATTTAGTTGAATACAGAAATAAACATTCAATCAGTGGTTACTATGAAGCTAACACAAAAAACGAGTGTTAGAATACACACGTAACATATGTATGTGCATGATAAAATTTATGTATGAATAACAACATCATTCTCATGTACTTAAAAAAGATCCTCTCAGTGTACAAGTCATAGAATACGAATTCATTTTCTGGTACTTTTTTATCTCAAAAATTTATTTAAAAAAAAGGGAACTATTCAATATAAAAACTATATAATTCGGAGAAGGAAACATTAATAACCTAATTTTGAAGGTGATTCAATAATTATATAAAAACGAACATTTGACAGGAATGGTGGGTATGCATTGTATTTCTAGTTCATGTAACAACCATTAAAAAAAACCAATAAGGATAAATGCTAATAATTCAAAAGAATTTAAAAACAGAAGAAATGATATGTACAAAAAATGTATCTATCAAAATGATGTGAAGTCATGATACCAGCAACTTATAACAAACCTAGGTCAAACAAAACCTAACAATTCTAATAAAATATTATATAATAAAACAATAAAGTAAATTTTCTTTAACAATAAAACTAAGTTAAAAAAAATGGTAATAATAATTTATTACAAAAGACAAGTTTGATAAATTTCTCAAGTCAATATACTGTATCTACCAATCAATGTCATGATTTATTAAACTATCCAATTTTTGGTGTCACTATTTTAAAGAAAACATTTATAAGAAATATTGTATAAGGCCTATGCCTGTATAAAAACTCACATTATAATTTATAACATTGATCACTCACAGAAAAAATAAGACATCATCCATATCAAGAATTTTTTTCCCTCCATTTCCACGCAAGGGATTACATTTCCACGATTTGCTATTCTGGATCACAATGCGATTAAATTACAGTTTACATTTCATCTTGTATATATATTTATACAAAACATCCCTTTTTCTTCATCATTTGTCATTCTGATAATATGATAGTGAAGCTGACATGAAAAACCTTACAATATATATATATATATATATATATATATAGATTATTTATAGATGATTTTCCATTAATCACAATCATAACATCTATCATCAATTTCAAAGTTATTATTTTTAATTATCATCTTTATGTCATTTAACTTTCTAAATGCAACTCTTTGCTTATTCAATTTAATCTGTCCACTGCAACAGTATAACTACAGTTTCCTTAACTGCTTTGATCCTGGTATTCAAATTCCTGGTCCTCTGCCCTTTTTCCCATTGACAGCAGCCACCCTGTACAAATGCATTTGCAGATATATATGTGTAGAATACATACATGACATACCACACACAAAAAAATAAAATAATAAATGAATAAATAAATAACAATAATAATAATAATAACAATATTATTTTGGTCTGTCAAATTCTCTTGACAAAAGCTATGATTGTGTGATTTCATGCTGTTAGTTTGACTTGCGGTATGTGTCAAAGGTGAAGGAATGGCACACCGATGGATGGAACATGTGTTGTGTATAAATTGGGAACTAATATGCCATGGATGGACACGTTAAGTAAGCAATGTGATGTTACACATCCTATACGCTGCTCTTGCTAAACTTGTATTTTTGAATATGTTTATGATTGCAGTCAAGAATTTGAACCGGTTAAAATATTTTCATGAGCCTGATATGAGTTTTATAAATACGATTTATGCAGTACAATTGTGAGTGTGACGATTCAAAATAGTTCTATGCAGGCAATTTAAACCAAGCAATTGCTGAGAAATGTTGAAACCAATGATTGAGGGCGCTATACATTTACCAATGTTATAACCGTGTACCAATGAGGTAAGATCTCCAGCAAGTCCGCTGCCCAAGCGTGTGTGGTTAAAACTGCATGGTTAAAACTGATCGAGGAAATACCTTTCAAATTCACTTGACAGTTTAGGGATCAATCGTCAAGGACGGGGCCTACTAACCAGCTGGGTACTTGTTCTAATCGCTACGAAGGACTTGATCTTTAAACCGACTTCCCCGAGAGTGCCTTACTTTCCTTAAAACGGAGTGGTCCAGGTCAGGTGACGCTCAAGGGGATGACACAAAACACTCCTTGAAAATAAAACGATACCGATTGTGCTAGTTGCTGTTAAATAATTACCAGGTGGTTTAAAGCCATTGGCTTTATATATCTTATAATGTCTCAAGTATAATTTAATGTCCTGTTTGTTTCTAAAGGTGTTTACGTTAAGTACTATATGACTGGCCTAATGTATGTTTATAAACAAATACAAATGGGAAGCTGACTGACAAATAAATAATTATACCAAGTAATGAAATAATCACAATTGGCTGAACAACAGAGTAAGTTCTACTATATTTTTACAATATATATCAAACTTGTTTTACATTAATCTGACCAATTACATTAATTAGCAACAACAATCATTATTTTAACTTGCATATGAGGTTGAGTGAACCAACAGTTCATCCGATATGAAACCTTAACGCTTCGATCATATGACGAAACATTGTGTCTGCAAAACCAATATTGTATCTTTTACTTTACCTGGTGACCTTTCACAGAGGTCATTTCAATGAGAAGCGCTCAAAACCACATGATTACCATCACATGACTAATACCACATGATTAAGGTCACATGACTCATTTGAGCCTATCACATATACCTTAATGTACATGATGTTCTGAAACATCAAGTTTATTATAATGTTATTTAACTCTTTTATAAATAACTTCAATACTTTATATCCAACTTATATTAAGTATATTTTTGCCGGGTTTAACTCAAGTTCAGAAGTTTTAAATAAATTAATCAGACTACCCTGCCTCGACAGGCTCTGACTGAGCATCTACACAACACTACCTAACGTAAGCAGCGCCCTCACATCACATCAACGAAGAACTCACATGGATTTCCCATAGCCATACGGAATGACTGCCGACTGCCGGAGAGATCCACCGGCATTTGGCCTAATTGACGTGGTGGGGGCGGAACGGGTACTTGCACTGGGGGGTTTTCACCTTGGGTGCTGCCAGGACGGCTGGCGTTGAGCGTTAGGTCTGATTCACTGCCGCTTTCACTGCCTTTGCTGTGCGATTTACTTTTTTCTTGACTCTTGCCAGAACCACTGCTACCTGTAATTACGAAAACAATGAGATGATGAATAATTTTGGTTTTTTCTATAACTTTTTTTAAATCATTTGTAGGGACGTTTGGCCAAGGATTGCCAACAACATACTTAACACATTCGCTACCAGGGACCCAAGTTCATGTTTGACAGGGTTCACTCAGAGTGCCAATTACGCAAGTTCACGCCACACCTGTCTAAACATACCACTATTTTATTGCATATAAACTCGCTGGCAGTGGTTAGCAGAACGTCAACTCATTGGAGTGTTAATTACTGTTAATAATTATATTTCGGTTTCTTCATTGAAAACACTCAGAAAAATCAAGAGCAGAACCTCATTGATTCCCTGGCAGCCATTAGCTGAATCACAGATTCAATTTACAAGTCAGAAGAATTCTGGTTACAGGCCTTCACCTTAAAATTAATTAATTATTTCTTACCACCACTACCGGCACTGCCTATACTTCCATTGCCAAAACTGGTAAAACTGGCGGTGTCGAACGATGCATAACCGCCAGTAACCTGCTGGTAACAAGGGGGCTGGCTCTGATAACTCATTTGTGAAGATGCGTAGACCATTGGTGGGGCAGTTGGCGCCCAGTGCGGGGGTGCTCCGGGCAAGGGCGCTAGCACGTCTTGGTCAGCTTCTGAGGCATCAGCGAGTGAGAGTGCTGCCATGTCTGAAGAGAAATAATATGGAATTATAATAAAATAACTTACTGAATTTTGGCAGTGCAATGAAACACTGAAGAAAAACTTCGGAGCATGTTTCAGGAGCTTCAGAAGTAAAAGTTCAATTCGATAGCCAATCTTAAAATGTTAACACAGTGTATCATGATATGATTTGACAAATTCTCACATAAATATACAATTTTACTGTTGGTTTCTTCAAGGGTGCTTGTACAACCGGAAAGCGCCACCAACATTTGTTTGAGTTACTACTTACTTGCACATAAATCTCCAAAGACATAGTAACACTGCTCCGAAAAAGTTATCTTGTTCACAGTATGTTTTATGTAGTTCATCTTCAGCATACCAGTGGCATACTTGCGTGCGTCCCTTCTATCTTGGAACCCTTCCACGTGTGTAAATAACCACTCAACAACATCGGATCCTGAGAATAGCATAGCAACACTTTCATGATATATAATTTCAAAAAAGAAGCATTACATAAATTCTGATGTAATTTGATTTAAAACTCTTGTCCACGCTATCAAATTTTATGTGATTTGTGTGATGTGTGCGGACAGAACCTTAGCATGTAATATGCATCCTGTGGCAATCCATGCAAGAGAAGACAGACATCGTACACTCCCAAGATATTTAGCATGCAACTTAGTGCAAGCTCACACATGGCAGCACTAAAGGTCTGTCCACACTATCAGATTTTAAAAAAAATGCCCATATATAGTCATGATGTGCCTACATATGGTTATGATGTGCCTACATATGGTTATGATGGCGGCCGTCTAGAGGCAAAACAACGTTAACTGACATTTTTGTCAATTTTGAGATAATATAATTTGAGAGAAAGCACCACCTATTCTTAAGCACAAAAATCTTAAAATCCAATGATTTTCTGTGGTAAAACAACGTAACTGCAAGATTACGGGGCAAAACAATGTATCTACGATGTAGATACTTTGTAGATAAGTTGTTTTGCCTCGAAATGGTATTCAAAAAATGTTTTGAGCTGATGGAGTTTGGCAAGGCAAAATCAACTGGTTAATGGTGTTTTCATACCAATAATCTCAACAGCGACGTATGAACAAGCTAGATAATGCATGTGATTGCTCCAAACGCGATAAATTCCAAAAATGTCGCACTTGCAACAATACCGAGTTTACGAGGCAAAACAACACAATAACTTTGCAATAAACAAATGGTGTAATTAACATTTTACATATAATCGCAATGTCTACAGATATACAAGCCTGATAAATTTCAAAAGGGTACGACAATTTATTGCTAAGTTGCAAATATGCAAACTTTAACTCTATTTTTCACCAAGAGTGAAAATTTCAAGTTACGTTGTTTTGCCATGGAACGGCAGATGTTATGCCATCACGACCATATTTAGACATGTCACATGTTTTTGTCAAAGAAAATTTAATAGTCTGGACAGGGCTTTATACAAATAATATGAGAAAGCGTACCTATAAATGCGCATGGGATTTTGATTTTCAACCACATTCTGTCTCGAATATCTAGGCCTGAGTCGGGGGCTGCCATTGCACGTACTACTGTCAGCATAGGTTTGTTGACGTTCAGCGGTCCTATGTCATCGTAACCTTTTGCGAAACAAACTTAAAAGACAACATTTGTATTGTTAGTAATATTATAGAAAAGTTCAATATCCTCACACTATTTATTATATGGAGTGCATTAGGATGAACATGGTTCTTTACTGTTTGTGTATGCAAAGATCTGGGAAAAAACGCCATCAATGTTCTTTGGGTATAATCCCACCCTAAAAATTGGAACATATTAGGGATGGGACTATACCAAAACCAAGGACTAGCCCTGGTTATCAAGCATGCTGAAGTTAATTTTTCAATGTAATTTACGCCATAAGTGGTTCCAAACATCTGCGAATAGTAGCAGGCTTAAGCCGGCACTCACAGCGCCTTATGACAGTTGTACGATGAATCCAACTCCACTCCCTGTGAGCTAAGAACGATCCATTTCGCATGTGTCGTGGCGTTGCGTTCCCCATAGGATTGCGTCAGTCTACGATTGTCGGGCGCGGTGAGAGCCCAGCTTTATACACAGGCAGAACATTTTGCATGAAAATACTTAAAAAGTCAGAGAACGTTTTTTAAAAACACTGACTTTAAAACACTTTTAAAAAAAAACACTTAAAAAATTAAACTTAAATTAAATTAAATTAAACTTAAATTTAAAACAATTGAAAAATTACAGTATTATTATTAATCATATTATCGAGTTATTTGAGGAAGTGTTAATATAAAGAGAGTAGCTTACGATCAGACTCTGGAATGGAGCTAGTAATTGACGAAGTAGCTGAGGTCATCGAAGTCATCGATGGGCTAATGGGTCCTCCGCGTGATGCTGCAGCTGCATATTCTACAAAAACAAATTAAAAATCTCTTAAAAAACTAAAATCGATGAAAAAAAATCAATTAATAATTGACTCAGATATAAAAACATAAGTAATAAACGGAAGAAACTTTATGAGCTCACTGTACCTTTCATGGCATTGGTATGTGCTACCCAAGCGCCGGGGTCTATAGGCCGTACTGGTTCACCTACAGTAAAAGTAAAAGAAAATAATGGGTGTAATTTATATAGTAGCTAGCAAAAAAATAAACATATGCTTGCCAAACATAATCTTTATCATTATACCTTGTACCTCAGTCACAACTTCTTCTGGTAAAGTCCGCTAGAAACTATGAACTGGAAGCAGGCGAGTGTGGTTTAAGCAAGGGTTACTATGGGGGAGTACACAGCGGTCCTAAAAGAATATGTGAAGGAAATGTTGACTGCTCATTGTGGTAGGTTAATCCACAGGGAGACGCTACTATCATATTATTGTAACACAATGCTTTTACTTACTTCTTGGTATTGTGAAGTAGCCTTTAGGCGTTGGGTCCCAACACTTGGCGACAACAAGTCGTATAGGCCTACAAAAGAAATCAAGAACCTTCAATAACAATGTTGACTGCATTATGAATTTGGAAGGGGGTGGGGGTATGAAAAAATGTGGAGGAATGGACGAATGAGCCAATGAATTATTGGGAGCTTAGTGAATGATTGATTGAATGAATGAATGAATGAATATAAATGAGAGCAAATGAATGAATTTATTTATTGATTGAATGAATGAATGGATGGATGGATGAATTGGGTGGATGACTTGAATACTGTAAATTGTTAGGTGGATAGACAGATAAAACAAAAAAGAAGACAGGTTAATGATACATATAAACAAAAGTCAAGGAAATTTAAATACAAAATCAAACAAGTTAAAACAAAATGTAAAGGATTATATTATTAAAAACTATAAAACAAATACTCAATATGGAATTCATCTGTGGATGTGACACATAAATAAAATTGTTGAATTGGTTTCCTGCAGTTTGCTGAAGTATCAACTTAAAATTTTGCATAGGGTAAAATTTTGGTTGTGGATACATGTTCAGCAATTGCATTAACATAACAATTAACTCACAAAACATTCCAAAAGTTTACTTAAATAAAATTTATAGCGATAAAAAACCATAAACAAAAGACAAAATTACAATTAATTAGTACCACAAAATATATAAAAGAACAAAGAACGGAAAAATGAAGAACATGTCAATCACTTGATCACTTTGTAAGACATCAAGAAAAACGATAACACAACTATCAGCAAAGGGGGAAGCTTACATATGGGAAGGGGATAACTATGTTGCAAATACCACATTGCATCAATTAAATGTAATGAGAAGAAAAGAACAAATAACAAAGTGTCATTTTACAAACATTTTAAGAAGAGTAGAAACCAAAGAGACAACAATATAAGACATACTGTCTGAAGAAAGTATGGAAAACATCAAGGTACTCAATTACTCCTTAAACCTTGATCAAACAAGTTATTAACTTTCAACAATATACAGATTGAAAGAATTCAGTTTTGGAAAATCTTAAACTGACTAAAAGTCAATTTTAATGATGGTTAGGCCAAAAAAAGAAAGTGTTTGTTTGCCCTTCTCCACTCGTCCCTAACTCACTAAAAACAATACGGGCGGAAAAACAAAAAAAAACTTTAAAAAAGTTTTTTTTTATAGTTTTTTTTTTTTTACAAATTTAAAAAAATGTGAGTGAATTTATCTTTATTTTTTGCCAGATGCCCTACAAATTAGTCTAAAGATGTTGTCTGATGTAAGATAATGCCATTCTAGGCCTCTGTGGGTTATTTTTATTCAATCTGATGAGTATCTTTAAAAAAAAATTTTTTTTTAAATGAATAAAATAATTTTTTTTTTCTACTCAGCCCTATTTTTTAAAAAACAAAAGGGCAAACAAACAATTTTTTTTTGGCCTTATATAAAAACAACATAGAAATCATAATAATTGATGAGAACAACATTTATTCATTTTATTTATTTTTTTATAACAAAGTACTGTATGCATTACAAAAACAATTTTTGTTACTTTTTGCTCTACTCAGACAGTATATCTTAACATAATTAAGTACAGAAGTATAAAATACAACAGAGTATGGATTATTATAAATACACATAAAGGAGAGAAATATAGAAAAGAGATTGAGAAAACAAAAATCGAAGGAATTAATATTCTGCACAGGTTAATTGTTGCCGATTCCTGCACAAGATGGTTACATTTTTACAATACACATATTTAAATAGTGTTTTCTCCACATTAGAAGTACTGTATTATGTGGCAAATACTGGTGATCTGCCCATATATGGGTGTGATATGAACTTATCATGCCCATATATGGGCAAAGTAACAGATATTTGTCACAGAATACCAGCCCTGTCCACACTATCAAATTTCCTTTGACAAAAAAACTGTTATATGCCTATATATAGTCATGATGAGATGTCATTACGACCATATTTAGGTATGTCTTTGACACATACATTTTGATAGTGTGAATAGGGCTTAAGTTTTCGAGAAGAGTAAATGATAGAATTAGTCGGGGCTAGGGTAGAGGTTATAAGATGTGGTATAGGTAAAGGATATATTTGGGATATTAGCAATTTAACAGAAACATAACGCATCACAACATCATGAGGGGGAGAGATCAATGAAGATGGTCACTGTAATGTTGTTTATCCTATGTTTGTAGTGTTGTTTACTATGTTGACAATCTTCTTTTCTTTAATCGTAGTGTTGCTTGTAATTTTTAATGGTGCCAATGTTGGTATTCATGGTGCAGTGCACTTGCATGTCGATTCTGACATTTTGTAATGATGACAACATCAACACAGGTATGTTTTAATCATACAAACAAAAAAAATTATTATTAGCACAAATGCAAAACTAAAAAAAAAAAGAACACTAAAACTGTACATCAAAAGAAAATAAAAATTATGTTGAGGTTAGAAATGATATATCAATTTGGGATGAACAAAAATGGCGCCGATAAATGTGTCCAGGTGTGCCGTGTCAAGATGGTCTGCCTGCCAACTCACCCTGGTTTTTGGACCGCTTCTCGTAGAACTCGCACTGCGTCATCGTTATTCAAGTTTTCAAAGCTATGCTCATTGACCTGTGAAGAGTATAGGATGTGGAGGGCGTGAATTTTAAAGCGATCTTAGAACAGAAATGCAAGGCGCAAGAACTTACCCGGGTTTATGAACGGTCTCCCGTAAAACGCGTACCGCGTCATCATTACTCAGGTTTTCAAAACTAACGTCATTTACCTAGTGATAGAAAACATGGTTAACCAAACATAATAAACATAGTACTCAAACAATACCATTCAGAGGAAAATTAACATGAATGAAAAAACTAGCCTGGAACTAAAGACTGCACATAATAAAGCACTAAATACCATTCGCGGGATATCATTTCGTTTTCAAGATAATGTCATTACTGGTATAAAATCATTTTTAACTAATTGCTTATAATTATTATGATTGATTACTTCTCAACAACCTACTATAATAATTGATTTTTATTAGTTTTTGATTACCATTGATTATTGTGATGATTACTTAATATTTACTGACAATAGTAATGACTGATTATATATTAATCTTTATAATAGTATATAATTTTTACCTGTAATATCATGTCACCTGGCTCTATCTTGCCATCTGCTGCAACAGCTCCACTGTACCCAAAAAAAAAAAAAAAAAAACATAAATAAAATATTAGTTTTGTGCATAAAAATGAAGACATTTTGGTGAAAAGAGCCCAAGCCCAACCAATCCAATTCCTCCCCCACTCAACAAAAAAAAAAAACCAATAAAGAAAAACTTTTTTTCTCAAGGATTCCAATTTGTATGATGTACAACAATTTTTCAAATTTTTTTTAGAACTAATTTGAAATCTTAATCCAGAATTTGTGCCCAGTGGTTGCTATTTTATTAGCCAAAATGCATCAGATAAATGGTGGTTAGTCATAAACCCTACAATTAGGTCTACAGTTAAATTCAATGCCAAGACCTTCCTATCACAAAACAATCTGCCTCCGTTTTTTATTAATAAATTATGTTTGTCCCTATCTAATATTATAATAAAATACACAAACACTAAACGCTTAAAAAAAAAAAAAAAAAAAAAAAAAAAAAAAAAAAAAAACATAAATAAAATATTAGTTTTGTGCATAAAAATGAAGACATTTTGGTGAAAAGAGCCCAAGCCCAACCAATCCAATTCCTCCCCCACTCAACAAAAAAAAAAAAAAAAACCAATAAAGAAAAACTTTTTTTCTCAAGGATTCCAATTTGTATGATGTACAACAATTTTTCAAATTTTTTTTAGAACTAATTTGAAATCTTAATCCAGAATTTGTGCCCAGTGGTTGCTATTTTATTAGCCAAAATGCATCAGATAAATGGTGGTTAGTCATAAACCCTACAATTAGAACTAGGCCTACAGTTAAAAAAAAATATCCCTGACCAATCGAAACTAATCATTCATAAAAAGGGTGTTGGTGATGATATTTTAGTAATGAAGATGATAATGAAGGTGGACTATGGGTAATAGTCCACAATAATAAACTTACCCTTTCATTATAGACCCTACATATATCCCTCCATCTCCACCTTTATTACTCTGACCTACTATACTAATACCAAGAAAATTTATCTTATCTGAAAAAAGAATGGGGAAAAGAATAAAGAATGATATAAAGACATAAAGAAATAAATACATTTTTTTCTAATTACTGATTAAAACATTCTCAAAAAAAAAAATTTAGTACTGTGTTTACAGTAAAATATACCTTAGAATCAGAATAAAAAAAAAACAAAAAAACAATTTTGCATGTAAAAAGACTGTCTCTGGTATGAGTAATAAAGAGAAAGTAAAAATCAATGTCAGATTCCAAATCGCATGAAACATCAGACACGTGGCTACATACCAAGATTCAATGTGACTGTGATGATGTTTAGAGACATCGTGGAATCGGTGATGCTACTGAATGACGAGGCCTGTGGGAAGAACAAGATAAATGCATCTTAGTGAAGTAGCAACTCGACTAATGCATGCTCTTAACGTCAAATTGGGCTATTAATACCGCTCTTCTCCGGCTAATAACACGCGGCGTAGTGTTTATAGCCTCGGTGTATTTAAAGTAGCATATTCACAAGTATATATCATAATTAATCTCTCTACAGTTCAAAAAAAAGAAAAATCCTTAACTTTATCTTGTGATTGGTTAAGAGAATGAATCCTCAATTTGCATTTAAGATACGCAAGCTAACCGTTAGTATGTGTGTGATTATACTGAATGAACTCAAGGCAAAACTACTTTAAATTGTAATCATAATAGGCCTACTGTACTTAGATATTTGGTCTTCTATCAGAATCAATGTTCAAGGAAGGAAATCTAAGAAAAAAGCGGCAAATTATGATTTAGAAAGGGGAGATAAATCTTGAATGCGATGTGTCTTTGAAAAATGAGTTGTGTTGTGTGCTAGGTCAACTTGATATATTTGTGATAAATATCTGATAAATTCAATTTCAAGATAAATTTTTTGAGTTATAAAAGAATGTTTGATGCACATTTTACAAAGCTGTTTTTCAGAATTGAAAAGAAAATCAATGAGACGTTTATCGTCAGTTTATTTTTAGGTGATTTTCTCGAAACTATGTCTTTCAAAAAGATTATACTCTAATTCTACTTGACCTATGAACTTAAATTCAAAGACCGAAATAAAGCATCTATCCAAAATTTATCAATAACTCATTTTTCCTATGTTCGGTACTACAAGACTAATTTTGTGACAAAACCTTGCAGATAAGCATTAATAATCATTCTTACATTGTCATTTATTATACTTTAAATAATTTATTATGAAATTATTAGATAAATGTAGGTTATAACTAAGATCTATGAATGAAAATTAATTATCATTCTTTATTTGATTTATTATAAAATATTTAGACAATGTAGGTTATTGTATTTACTGTAGTACATGTTGGTTATTTAATTTATATCATTAAAGGAGTGCTAAACAAGGAAAAGAATTATTCTTGTTTTGCTTATGTAGCCTCCTAGAGGCCTCTGACATAAACATGGGAGAATGTCTGTCAACTACGTGTTTAAATGTCATTCACGTCAATTTAAATGGGACTAATCGTATGAACATCAATGAGAGATTTATTAACATGGGTGATAAATTCTGATGGTTAACTTCATGATTTCAAAATGTTAGCAACAAGCCAACATTTACATTATGTTATCTCCATAAATCACTAACAATTTACGGCATAGCTTTCAATCCCATAATCACATTAGAATAATATATTTATGGGGCTAGGACGAGAAATCAGGGATATGAAGGGAAAAAAATCCAAGAGTAAATATAAAACACTTATTTAACATAGTAAAATCCCTATTAGTATTTAAGAAGACAATTTTGGGACCAAAAATTGTTTCCTTATGGGTGTCCCTGAATAGAGGTTGGCTGTAGTGTTAACAGATACTTTCCCTCGTTAGGGAGGACACCCTTATAATCAAGGGGACACTTTTTGGGCACTAAATGAGGGAAAGTTTATCTCTTAACACTACAGTCAACCTGTATTCAGGGAACACCATGATTAAAGGGACACTTTTTTGGTCCCAAAGGTGTCCCCCTTAATAGTGGTAATACTGTACTACAATAACATTTGTAAATCTATTGTATTCTCGCCATGCATTTTAATATTTACAATATTGTTAATATTGTTATTGTTATTATTAAAATTTGTTTAGTACTTTTTATGTTTACTGCCTACACATTGAGTTTCTGAATAACAAAAAGAACATTGTTTTGTATGAATTCATAAATGTTTAATAGGTAGAGCGATTATAGCATCGGTTTGCTCTTCCACATAATATCACTCCAGGCAAATTGTGCACTTATATGGCAAAGATTATTAAATACGGTATTATTATTCGTCCATTCAAAAACTATATAGTTTTCTTTGATGACTACCGCTAGTCTCAAGACCTGTTCAGATTATCAAACATGTGACCGCCTAAATATAGTCATGATGACATCCCATCATGACCATATATAGGCACATCACAACTATATATGGGCATACAACAGTTTGATAACCTGGATAGAGCTTTGGGTTGCAACATTGGGCTATCACTGATTTCGGTAGATGATATATGTTCTGTTGCTGTATTCTCTGCGATCGCTGATGACAGTATGTGTCTGCTCATTGTTGGTGGTAGTCTAAGTGGACTATCATCATTAAAAACAACCCGTATGGGAGGGGACAACAGAGGGTAATCCTTCCAGCTTATCCCGGAGAGTTGGTTGATATTCAGGGATCCTCTTATTAATGAAATACTGTAATGTTATTCTCTGTATTAAGGTTTACAGAGAAATCACAGAGGACTCCTGAATATTAGCCAACATTCTAGAATATGCTGGAAGGAGAATAACCCTCTATCAAAACTTGACTATATGCTGTCCCCCTCCCCACCAGTAACATGTATTTTATAATGTTCATAATAATTACCCGTTGAACTTTTTGAGGTCGTCTCTTTGGCCTAACCCTCCTCTTGGGTCGTTTTCCCATCAGTCGTCGACTGCTCTCTGTTGTACTACTGAATCTGAAAAACACAAAGATTAAATTCTCAAATTAACATAGTATACAAATATAGAAATAATACCAAATTAATAAGATAAAACTGTAAATATTTTGAGGGAATCATTAAGATAAAACCAAAAGATAAAAACTAAATATGGCATAACGTTTTTTTAAACTATTTATTAAATCTTATTATTTTGTGAACTGTTTAGTAGTTATTTTAACTAAACTGGTATTCATTGTCTCATTGGTTTAATTTTGGTTTCAATTTGTTTCATCCTTGCGCATAATATAAAACTAAATGGCTTTTTAAAAAATAATGGACCTAATACTTATGAAAACCTGATATATGATATAACATCTTACATTCATTTCCTAAAGGATTACTGGAATCAAACAACAATTACCAAATAAAATTATCTATAAATGTTAAGGGCTGATGTACGATAATCTATTAAAAAGCTATTCAATACAGTTTGGAAAATAATTCTTGAAAACAAATAGCATAATGAATAAAACAAAAAAAAAAAGCACTTTAAAACATGATCTATTAAATTGATGTACAACTATCATTACAAATAAAAATCAACATTCTTACATCCATTTCATAAAAAAAAAATATTGGAATCAAATAACATTTGACAAATAAAAGTTTTAGTGGCTGAGGTATTAGAATTAAATTAGGAATGTAATATTTAAAACTAAACAGTATGATGAATATACAGGTTTCACTCTAATTAAAAACCTTTCCAAAAAGACCACCTCCAATTAAAGACCACTTTCTGTGAATTGGAGGGAAACCTTATAAATCAAAAAAAAAAAAAAATTATAAAAAGATGACCTAAATTGATGTACATCAATTACGGAAATATGTAAGATGATGCTCAAGTTTACAACTATCATAACAAATTAAAATCAACATTCTTGACATGGCTATGTGACCTCTTAGGCAGATGGCAGATGCCACTCAAAACAAGTTAATGCAGAAAAAACAAAACTCTTGTTTCCCCTGGCAATCATCCACTGAGATCCATTAAGGAACAATTCCAAGTCTTTCATTCCACAAAAAAAAACAAAAAAAAAACAAAAAAAAAACAGACAAAACAGGATAATCCATTAATTATTACAATATAATTAATAACATAGTAGTATAGTATTTGTAAAGTTTTGTCTACACTACCAAATTTTATGTTACAAAAATAATGCGATGTGCCCATATATGGGTGCGATGACGTCATATCACATTATCATCAAATTGCATACAAAAAAGTTGAACGTGTTCAACTCTTATGTTCCATTACATTTTATGTGACGCTTTTTTGATGAAATACGATAGTGTACTCTAGACAAACCTTAATGGCAAAATTATTATAAGAGATAATATTGACAATAAAAATAAATAATAACTAAACCACAAACAAATTTAAAAACCATTTTCAATTTAATAATATTGAACATTCTACTTAAGTGATAGTATCTAATAACAAATAAAAAATAACAAACAACAGTTCAAAAATTAATTATTAATTTATAAAATTTTATAATAAATTAACTTATGTTTGGATTGATCTATTTCTCGTCATTGTTTCTTTTCTTTTTTTTTTTTTTGGCTGGTGAAGGGTCGAACTATTGCCTATAAACAAGCAACTTATAATGAGAAATGTATGTTAAGCTTATCATTGTTTGAAAGTAAAATATTAATTTTGCTATTATCATAATTACCAGCACATATGACATTTTTACCCCTTTGTCACTACTATTTAACACCTACGAAGTATAAATTGTAAGATATCGTGGTTTACAATTTAGTAATAAAGTATTCTAAAGTATTCTAATTGACATTTCATGTTTTATTCAAAGTCATAAATTTCACCATTGCCTATATTGGTAATATTTTACTCCAAAAATCTATAAATTGTTTTTAATTTTTCAATCCAATCCAATCCACGGAAAAGAATCTATCTTGTTCTTAATAATAGTAAGCAAATAACTTACTTAAATATAGACCTATAAAGTAAGCAAGGAGGCAGGCCAAACAAATGAGTATGAGATTTTTGGGAGAGTAGAGGGTCGCCTTGCATACAGTATAAGTCCTACTCGTAAGATAAAACAAAACTTTAAAGGTATAGAGGCTATAACTGTATGTATCAATCCTAGCTCAAGGGATTAGACGCGAAGTGATATTTTGTCCTTGGTTTACCTCAAGTCCCCTAGGAGAGGATCGGACTAATCTTAGCCTAGACTTTTCACCCAGTGCATTTAGGTCCCAATGAGTCAAGTACTGCCTGAGGGTGTGCTGCAGCAACTCTCCTGGGAGAAACACAGTCCTGACCTATTTACAATTCTATTTACTCTTGTAATGGTTTTATTTAAACGATATCTTCACCTATAACTCTTATGTTACTGTTAAGTGATTGTGGGTTGCATTGTAATGGTTTTCCTTTCTAAGGCAGACAACCTCCGAAAGCTATCTTTGTTTGGTTTAGGGTTTAATTGGCTGTGACATAGTTTCCAAATTCTAGCACAACGTTTTTACAAAGCAACCATTGCTGGGTATAAGTTCTGTTAAAAGGAAATATTACCTGGCAATAACAAAAATATTATACTAATTAGATCAACATATACGAACAATGGAGAATACTTTTGTAAATTAGGCCCTATAAAAACAATTAGTTTATCTAGGCTGGAAAAGTGGTAAGGAAGGCTTTTATTTTTTATTTTTATTTTTTTTTTATTTCAACCATCTTTAAAGAGGGTAACCCTTCCAGTTTAGCCCAGTAGGTTAACTGATATTCAGGGGCCCTCTTTAATAAAATCAAAAAACAGTACAAACAACATCATTACAACATAATAATAATAACAATAACAATAATAATAATAATAATAATAATAATAATAATAATAACATACAATCCTCATAAAAAGTCTTAAAAGTATTAAATTGACTTACATAAAGAAAATTCAAAATAGAAGTTTAATTTATGCCTAATATAATATAATGTAATATAATATAGTATAATATAGAATAAAAATCAAACAATGTAATAATAAGAATAGCTCAATAAAACTGCAATAAACAATGGCTAAGAGTTTAAAATATATCGTTTTAACTTAAGTTTAAACGTATTTTCTATTTTGCAGTCCCGGAGGTCAATTGGTAAATTATTATAAAAATTAGGACAAAGATAACTAAAAGCACGTTTAAAACATTCCAAATTGACCTTGGGAAATTGTTATTTGCTATGCCAATATCCTCCTTGGGTTGTTTTCTGGTACAATGATATTCAAAGTAAAATACATGATTGAGATAATACAACTACTATAACTATTTACAAAAAAAAAAATAATAATTTTCCAAATAAATAAAATATTTTTCCAACAAATTCTTTTTTTCAAAAATATTTTTTTCAATACCATAGAAGACAATGGGGCAAGGGTGATAAACTAATCTTTTTTTTATTGGGCCTTATACAGTATGGTAGTTTAAACACAGTCTCCTTATCCACTTTGACTTCAACAGGGCCTCGCCATTTAAGTTGGGAGCTTTTAATTTGTGTGATGATGTGAAGCCAGAACAGATTCACTAATGTGTGACCATCCTGCATTCTGTGCACAATGCAGATTCGGCCAAATTGCATCCTAGAATCCATGCGACAACAAGAACTTGCATGCACAGATGAGTTCTTAGTGTTATCACTACGTTCTACGTCTTACTGCCATCGTGCAATCGATAGCTCCCCTGTGCTTTCCTCTATCGGAAATTGTCAGCTCCCACATGAGACAGCTTCGTAAGGGCCTCCCCCAACCTCAAATCCTAGGGTCCAATGATTAAAATGCCTAATACATGAATACAAGAGGGTGACAACAAAACAGAGTAGAATTGTAACTAATCTTATTGTCAACTAGTGGCGCTATTAATGTCAATACAACCTATTAGAACTAGGTCAATAGGTCATGACCTTAATAAGCCAAACAAAACCCTTTTGTAATTACTCACACATCTATTAATAATAAGATTCAAATTTAGGGACGCAAAGAAAACAGAAAGAGTACAAAAAAAAATATATGTCTAAATGCTTAAAAGTATTTCCTCATATTTTTTTCAACTAAACAACTTAAGTACTTAAATATAGGCCAGTAAATAAATTTTCCTACAAGGAATGGATGACAGTTCTTACACATTCTAAGACTGTATTTGCCAAGCTAAAAACTCGTCGGCTTTCTGAATTACACTCTGCATCAAATACCAATAAGTCATCGTGTAATTTCTTCCTGTTGTTGACAAGGTAACTTGCTGTTTAATGCAAATCGAAAATACAATTGAATTAACAATTACCTTTAAAGATGTCCTCCTACCAGATACCATGGACCAAATAAATGTGTTAAATTAGAAAATATTAACAGTTTTCCTTACGAAGCATGCATGATGAAAAGCAAGGATAACCAGGTCGTCTTCTTCAAAATACTGAAGACCAACCCTCCAAATAAACAAGGATTAGAACATTGACAGCTCTTCTCATTATGAAATTCACTCACTCAGGTCAAGAATAGGCTAAGCATATAAAATCCTGATCACCATCGCGATGGGAATAATAATGCTGCGTTCAAAAAAAGAGGACGCATTTACATTCAGCTCTAAAATACTGAAGAATTACTAAATGTATTCATTTTGGAAGACGCTTTTACGTCATCAAATCACATGGCATAATTACAGATTTTAGAGTAGCAGTCGCATGATGACTGAGTGGCTGAGCTCTAATGCATGCAAGGTACATTGAAAATATAAACACTCCAACCTATCTGTCATATAATTTGCTGTTAGAAAATTAAAGCCATCTCGCCTGACTATTAATAATTTTTAACATACCAAATTCAATCCAATTTAATCAATTCATTTCAATTCTAATTCAAATGTAGTTCTTTTGGTAAACCGTATTTTCATGTAATAAAGCGAAACTTTTTTAAACCTTGTATGCAAACTATTTTAAAAGATTGTTAGAGGAGGGGAGAAAAAATAAAAAT